GCAGCAAGGTTTGCGTTGCAACAAACGGTCAGACCTAGAGTTGTAGAGACTCTGCTGATGCCAGGCAGCTGGGTGGAAAGTGGAGAAAGCGAAGGAGACAATGGAGTTTTTCGCGAACCGTGACGACGAGGTTCTTGACAAACTCCGTCGGACAATTCGTGCGACTCGTGGTTAATCTATTAAATTATTATTGGTGTCATTGTGTCACATTCTGGGATGTTTTTGTGTTGCTTTGCCTTTGAGGTATTTTGTGCGGATGGGGAGCCGGCGGAGCAGCTGATGCCTCGCTTGGCCAAGGTGCCTTGGTATTAAATTCGGACTCGGCTCATTCGACACTTGACGTCATGAGGTCGGCAACGTTCTTCCGTCGTTAGACGCCTCCATTCGATGTTTCTCTCATGCGGCACAAGCCAGCTTGGAGTCGATCGTCAAGTCAGACGAGAAGATGGGCTATTTGATGGATCGTCTGGTTACTCGCTTTGCTGACACACACAGCAGGGGATCCTTGGCCAGGGCATTAAAAAGATAGCCCAAAGTTGGCATCCATGTTTCGATCTGAAGTAAGACTGGAGCCCAGCGTGGTGTCAGAGCTTTCGGCCAGCTCTGCGATGCAATCAAGCTTTGCAAGTCAGAGGTGGGACTCCACAGTAGAGGCCCTTAGGTTGATCGTCCTCAGATTGAACGAGATTCTGAAGTTCCTTTGCAAGGTTTGCTTGACGGACGACAACCGTGACTGGGCACTGTCAGTCCTCCAGGCCGGGCGAGTGGGTCAGACTGACATGATGTGAAACCTGTGTATAATATCAGTTTAATAAATGATGGATAATAAGCTTGCAGGTTTTTACCTGGCCGAACATCATTGCCATGTGCTTGCTTGTGGAGTTCATGTCGTGCGTCAGACAGCACATCCACTCGTTTGACAATCAGGGCGGCACTCGTGGCAGCGGCTCTCGTCAGAAGAATGTGAATGGCAATGCTGTTAGCAGGATTGTTTTCGCATCTCGGAGGTCCCGGATGGTGTCAGAAATGCTGGCAAGGTTGTTTGATTATGAGATCAACGGGACGAAACACAAGCCACTCGTGTTAGATCGGAACTTCACCCACGGGTACTGTCAGATTGCAGCTGAAGCTCTGAAGTTCGGTGCCTTTGCTGCACAGTCAGTCAGACCTTTTCATCCAGGTTTGGCAGCACAAGTCTCCGACTCTGAGGCAGTCAGAAATCGTTCTCTGTTGTCCACAAGGGCCGGTTGCTGTATCGCCTCTACAGCTGCTTGGCGTGGCATTGGCGCACAGTCCGCTCACATTCTGCAAATTTAATTATATTCAGACCTCAATCTGTCAGCCAAGGCCACGACTTGGATCTGAAGTGTCTGATCGCTGACGGCCTCGGCTCCATCGCCAACATGAAGCGAGCCTATCTTCAAAGCGTCTTGTCAGACCACGAAGCTGGTCTGGGAGAGGCCTTCGAGCCTTTCGACGTAACACAATGGGTGGAGACACGGGATGACAAGGCTCTGTCCCTGGGCCGCCGTTTTGATAGCATTGGTGCGTATAGTCTAAGAAATTTTAATTATGTATATTTATTATTAATACTTACATTTAATAATTACAATTTGAATCATGTGTAACAGTGGTGCCCGAGGTCAGACGTTCTGCGGCCATTGGCGACGGTGGGCAAGGTGGAGGCCGGTGTCCACACCGTCACGATTTGCACGAGTTGCACTGTTTTCTTAGTTTTGGTCACCAGGTGGAACCGCTGGTGAAGGAGCTGCTGGTGGCCAGACCGACAGCACTGGCTGCGATCAGGCTGTATTTGTCGTTTTGTAGACTCTGAATTTAAATTAATATCATTGTGATTTTAGACTGACATGCTTGTTAAAAGTCTTTGCAGGAGGGGATGCACGGATCCAGAAATATTTTGGCCAGAGGTCTTGCGGCACTGGGGCCGTAAGACACTTCCCATACTGAACAATCTGGCTGCTTGGTGGCAATCAGAGTCAGATTCAAGAGTCTTGGCGGCCTTTGTCAGACTCGGCGTGTGTCCTTTGCGAGCGATGAGGTTCCCTTCATGCTGAGCATCTGGGTGAGCTCGTCAGAGCTAGAACAAGATTTCTCCTACCTTCAGCTTTTTCAGTTGAAGAGTCGCATCTGTGAGACACACCTGCGGGACTTGCTCAAGGTTCTGCTTGATGGGCCGTCGGTGTCAGACTTGTGTCCTATGAGTCGTTCGTCAGACGGCAAGATGCAGTACACCTCCACAGACATGATTTTGCGATGTCAGGCTTTGTATCGCAAGACTTTTGGGACGGCTAAGAATCAGCGGAAGACACCAGACCTGCCAAGACGAAAATTGTCAGAGAAGACAGCTGCTCCTAAAGGCGTTCAGGGCTTTCTCCGAGTCAGACATGATGAGATAACATCATTGATGAAGCAACAGCGGGAGGCATCAGGGTCAGACCAGACTTTGGAGCAAGCAGGCCTTGAGGAAATCACTGCGAATTCGGCCACCAAGAAAGCCACCGCCAAGCAGCAAAGCCTTTGTAAGACTATGCGAGACAATCAAGCACCTGGCCTGATGTTAGCCCATTAGTGACTGAAATTTTTCGAAATGTAATTTTAATTACCTTTGCATTGAACAATCCAAAGCGCGGTCCGTCCAGGACACGAAGAGGAAGGCTTTGGAACTTCTGGCCGATGGGTCAGACCCGCATGCAGAGGCGACCTTGCAAGCTTGTCAGCAGGAGATGCAGGCGAGAGAAGTAGCTGACCTCACACGACGTGACTTGCAATGGTCAGAGAGGAACAACTGCACATTATCATTTTCCTGCAGCTGCGTCCTGATGCCTGGCATTGAGCTTTCGTCAGACGAGCAGTCTCTGCTTGCCAAACTGAGAATCAAGACCTTGGCCTGGAAGTCAGATGTGGAATTCTTCCGGGAACTGTTCCAGGTTAAGGACCTGATTTGGTTTACAAACGGGGACGAAGGTCAGATTGTGTGCCAGGGCGGTCTTCGCTCGGCGTGTCAGTCCACTGGTCAGACTGCTGGTCAGACTAATAACGACGACGAGTCAGACAATAAGACGCCTGAGTTAGAAAGGTTGCCCGCTTTCCTCATGGCATCTCGTTTGGTTGGTGGCTGGGTGGCAGGAATCGAGTGGCTTGTGGAGTGTAAGAGATTGGGATGGAAGCTGCAGCCAGTGCTGCGACTGGCACGTGCTGTGAGTGTTCCCCGTGAGCTGCATCTTCATAACTCGTCAGAGTTTTCCTCCATGATCAGCCAGATCGTGTTCGTGGGCTGTCAGATTGCGAGTGCGAACTGCCTGTGGTCCACCCGTGACTCCCGTAAGAACCTGCAGCTCGTTTGCAATTGATTGTTGCATGTCAGTACGATGCCGTTGTCCGCAATTATTAACGACTGTGTGCCAGGACCAAGAAGAGGTCGTGGGTCCTCATGTCAGAGAAGATTTCCAAGAAGTCCAGGGAGAAGGACAAAGGCCGCATCAACAAGAAGAGCGGTAACCCGATCACGTCTGATTATTTGTTCGAGCAGATCACAGTGCTCCTTGTCTGATTCTGGCCTGACATGTCGCATGAATTGAATCGTCAACTGCAGTGGTAGCAAATGGCACGACGAAGGTGGTCAGACATGCGTGATGCCCTGTAAAGACAGCCACAGCCAGTGAGGCCATCGGTCAGACAGCAGTGTTGAGTCAGTAGTGCTGGAGTCGAAGCTGAATCGGAATGAACATGCAAGGGTTGGAAAAAAGGGTTACCGTTGCCTGCTTTGGTTGACATGCGAACTGTTCAGTCGGATTCTGCTGCTGAATTTCAGCGGAAGCTCTGTCTGGGAATCATTTGAATCAATCAGGTCAGACGATGGTCAGCAGCGGAACCATGGACATTATGAATGAAGGCAGGGAGCAGCCCTCGTGACAGCGTTTGCTTTGGCGGGCACAAGACCAGGACGTTGTGGAGAATCCTTGTCTCAAGGTGTTGGATCAACATAGCTGCCGCAGGTCAGGTGTCTAGTAATTACCGCACTCTGTAGTTCTAATTATAATTGACCATGATCATGTTCGCATGACGTCGTCAGACAGACGAATCCTGAATATCAGCATGGCAACGGTAGCAGTCGTGGACTTTCCCTTTCTGTGCTGTGCCAGCTATGGTCAGAAGCAAGGTGGTCAAGCTTCCACCCCACAAGGTTATTGGCGGCACACCTTTTCGAGCCCAGCCAAGGCGCCCAAGTAAGACTCCAAGAAACGATCGGCGTAAAGCAAAACCATCGCCAATCAAGCCACGCAGCAGCTCCGAGAGTGCAGAGGAGGCGTCAGACGATGTGGCCTCTCACATGGACATCGCTCTTCTTCTTGGCGGAAAGCGTGAGACTGGCACAAGGAGTCGCAGTTTGTCTGACAGCAAACCCAGTAAGACGGCAAAGCATTGGCCGGGAACGAAGAGTCACAGAAACAGTTTGGATGATCGCCTTATCAAACAGAAACGTTTCCTCTTGCCACCTTTGGTCATCAGCAGAACCGTCAGACAACTGTTGCGCAAGATGAAGCCGGATGATTGGCGAATCTCTCCCAATGCTGTCAGACAACTGCACGAGGCGGCAGAGCTCTTCATCGACGACGTGTTTGTCAGAGCAGCAGCATTTCAGAGGAAGTGTGCTTTGCAAGCGAACTCAAAGTCAGACACGCTTTGTAAATTTCACATGGAGCTCGCCCTGATGTGAGTGAAAGGCTGACGCTGAGTCTGACCATCAGTGCACCAAATTCAATTTTGTTATGTCAGATCAGAAATGGTGCGGCAGGCATGCTGGCAGAAGCAAGTCAGCAAGAGTGTTAATGCACAGATTTTGGATGGTCAGACCGTCATCGTGTGCGATGAAAATGATTGCGTGGGACACAAGTTGGGCCTTCCGATTCCGCAAGCCCAACTAGCGTCCTCAGCACGCTGCGGACACAAGTTGGGCCTCTTAAACCCCCTCCCAGACCATTGCGACCCTGGACACACTTTGCCATGTTGGGACATTTGGGACTGCAGAGGCCCAACTAGCGTCCTCAGCACGCTGCGGACACAAGTTGGGGCGCCTGACGCCGGAGGCCTAACTAGCGTCCCGTCGTTTGGTGTTGCATCTTAATCTGACAATGACATGCTTTTGGGAACTTGTGCTTTTGTCACAGGTGCCTACAGGAACATATGGCGGACTTTGGTCGGACAACCAGGACTGGCTTTGCAGTCTTTAGCTTGCGTGTAGGACCATTTACGGTTCACGAGCTCACGGGGCATTTAGTTTGCTGCTGCAGCTGTCAGATTGACGATCAAGCGACGCTGTTTGTCAGACCCCGTGGCTCCTAAGCCGAAGACGAAGGGGGCTCAGCCGAAGGCAGCTCAGCCGAAGGCAGCTCAGGCCAAGGCTGCGGAGAAGCCAGCTGACTGTAAGACTCAGCAGGAAGCTTGTCAGACACCGTCTCAGAAAGCAGCGGCGACGGTGTCAAGCATGAGCACCTCGCCGGTGCACAATCACAGGCGTGTGGCGGCAGACATCCTGGCACCTCTTCTGGACTATGTCGAGGAGATGGAGAAGTCCGATGTCAGACCCATTGCCTACGCTGGCATCCAGGCGTTTGACTGCGCCAACTACGCTCAGGAGATGTCAGACAAAGGCAAGTACACGTGTGTGGTGCCCTTGCACTGGCTCGGTTTGGTGGCACCAGCCTGAGGCAGTCAGACAGCGTCGCAGTCCATAGACTGATCGCTCAGTTCACCGGTCCCTGTTCTATTCATGTCAGCTGAGGCATTCGAGTCAGATGTCTGGCCAAACTACGGAAGTATTGTCAGAAGTTACAAGCACCACTTCTGTACGTCAGATGGTCTCCTGACGGATAAGATTTGCCAGCCGCAGCATGCCACTACGAATCTTGCATGGATTAATTTTAAGTTTCATCCCGGCTGTGTGTACCAAGAAGGCACGGCCAGACGTGTCAGCATGGAATCAACTCAGGATCCGTGCTACCAGTAAGACTTCGCCTCCCGAGGCGGGGACATGGGAAGTCGCCGACAAGAGCGTCTTCAGGATGGGCTGGCTCATGGGGTTCGCGCAAGCACGTGAGACCAAAGCCATGGATGTGGTCAAGAGGTTCGAGGAAGCCAGCTGCTCTGTAGCCGTTACTTTCCAGCTGGTCGTGTCAGACGACGAGTTTGGTGTGCATCCGGGCTGCAAACCAGAGTCGAGTTTTGCAGTCCCCCAGTGTGGTTCGGTGTGCCTTGGGTTCCTGTCAGACAAGGCTCCGGCGACAGCTTGAGGAGAACATCAAGTCGGACGCTCTGACGGCCCAGCTTTTTGGCTACAAGGAGTGCCTTCAAACTCACCAGGTGTCAGAATCACTGAAGCGTCAGAACAAGCCGCATACATCGTCAGACGTTGCGGCTTGGTTCTCCAAGATCAACTTCGCGGAGGAGACCATCGGTCAGAAGACCGTGGAGTGCCACTTGAAGATCGTGAAACGTATGACTGAAGTGGCAATCAACCATTTGGACGGCTTGGAGTACGCTTTCGGTAAGACACACCCCTTGGCCAAATGGGCCGCGCTCGACACCCTCTGCGGTAAGACGTCATGCCCCAAGAACCTTCCGCTGCAAGACAAGCTGCTGAACTTCGTTGTGGCTGGGATTCATGTCAGACTGCTCAGGGGCACGTTGGCACAAAACGTCAGAGAGGACATCCGCCACAAGGTCATCCCGTGTTTCCTGGCCTTGCGTCGGATCTCCCATTATGTGGCCTGGAAGATCCAATGTAAGAACATCGGAACGGTTTTTGGCGACTGGTCAGACTTCCATATCATGTTCCCTCGTGGCAAGTTCATGGAGCTTGCTGGCGGCAACACGTCAGAGGTCACAGCGTTTACGGAGAAGTTCGTCAGACCGTCAGAGCGAGCGGCAGCCACGGGTAGCTTGTCTGATTCGGCATGCCCGCCATAGCTTCATTTGCGTGCTGATTTGATTTGGTGTTACTGTTAGACACCAGGTCTCCACATGCTGTATGACGGGAACGCGGACCACATTCTCCTGAAATGCCTTTCCAGAGACTCGAACATGTCAGCAGAAGGTATTCTGGCATCGTCAGACTTCGCCTCCGAGGACCCAGAGTTTTGACAAAGAAGCAAGTGTGGGTTTTCACTTTTAAAACAAATTTCCTGTTTGCAACCGCCAGCAAGGATTTGTTTGACTTGGGCAAGATTCTTCAGCTGCACGAGGAGGAGACCGCACCGCCACCGCCACCGAGTACGACGCCGGCAGCTGGCGAGCAGGACAGTCAGACCGCAGCCTCGGAGAGTGTTGTGGACGATGGCAATGACTCGCAGGCCACCCTGGTTCTGGGACAGCATCTTACGTCAGATCATTCTGTCGAAAAGCCCGTAGTGGACGAGCTTCTCGCGGAGAATGAGGACGAGCAGGTGATCAGCAAGGAAAACGAAATGGTTCGTCAGATGTTGGAGTCAGATCTTTTTCCTTCACTGACTCTGCCCAGTCTGGCGTTAGACAGCTTCCACAACGTCTCGCCAGATGCCGTGCAGAACATGTATTCCGTTGCCAGCTCTCGTCAGGTTCTTACTTTTAAGAAACCCTGAGGCTTCAGTCAGTCAGGTCATGAACCCATTATTATTGCAATTTTGTGTGTCAGACCACCGGCCTCTCAGGTCTGACACAGTACGCTACGTTCATTGAGGAGCCAGACAACAGCAAGTGGAAAGAGGCCCTGGCCCAGTCCGGGGGGAAGGTTGACAGGGTACTGTACATCTATGATGCAACGTGCCGGTACGACAGGGCTGCATTGTCTGGTAAGACCTATCGACTGCTTCCTCCACTGGACGAAAGTCATTACCAGAGCGTGCTGACGGCACTGTTGGCGCCAGAGGGTGATCCTTCAGCGACAGATACATTCTTCCGCAAGAATGACCTCTTGTTCCTGAAGGATGCCCGCAGGTCGAGCAACTTCAACAAGATGGGTCGCCTCGCGTCTTGACTTGCACAAGATAGGTGAGACAGGATTCTGAATGAACCATTGAATATTAAAGGTTTAGTCTTCATATCATATTTGAGACAAGGTCAGACAAATCCTGAAGATGTGCCCCATGTCGGACTACCCGAAGAAGCCACTCGCCGTACCGGTCAGACTCTGCTACCACAACAACGAGTTTACCAAGGATGGTTACGTCAGAAAGAATGGCTCCATGGGCAAAATCACGAGCAGAATTGCATTGCCGGACCCTGTGGAGAACATGTTTGTCTTCGGTAAGACAAAATGTACGATGGAGACGCGTGAAAGGAAATGGTTGGACCTCCCAGGCAGCAACTACACCAGAAGCTTGCAGGGCTTGAGCATCCGCACGCAGTCAGAGGCCAACATTATGGTCAAAAGGGACGTGCTCAGTCAGATGATGAAGAAGGTGGGTGCTGCTTCCTCGTCGTCAGACAAAGCAGCCTCACAGCCAGACAGTGACGGAGAAGTTCCTGTTCCGTCAGATCATATGCCAGGCGAGCAGCAGGATAGCCAAGGGTCAGAGCCCATTCCCGACGGCGCCAACACGGATGATCGTTGCTGCCAGTGGTTCGCATGGTCCCCGTCAGAACTCTTCTGGGCCGAGATGTTCAACCTGTATGGAGTCAGACGCCCGGGCACCTACCGGATTGTGGATTTCACACCGGGACCGGGGATGGCAGCGCTGCAAGCCGTCAGAGAGAGGGTTCCATACGTGGCGTTTTGCTTGCCCTCGCAGTCAGACGCCTTGCGTCAGACACTGACATTTCAGATCATGCTGGAGGTCGTCAGAGGTGTGAACAATGGCTTCACACGTCGTGTGCTCAGCCGCGTCAGATCCTTGGATGGAGGCCACAGCTCCAATGGAGATGGCCGCATCGACGGCAGCAACAGTCAGACGAACGAGCTGCAGGAAAGTCAGACGGAGCAGCCAGAGCCACGGCCGACGCTGAAGCGAAAGCGTCAGATGAGTGACCTGCAGAGCAATGACAGCAGGAGCAATGCGTCAGACAGCGACCCGGAGGTGTGATTCACCACGCTTCCGTCAGATGATTTTAATTTTGGATGTAGACGTCAGAGAGAGGTCTTGGTTCAAGGTCGACTCGACTGAGTCTGTCGATCGTTATGACTCGTTCCATTCGTCAGACACAGGGGCTGGCCCTGGGTTGTTGAATCTGTTTAAATTTAACTATTAAAAGTAAGACCAAGTTAAACTATAATTAATTTTATTTTAGAATCAGAATCATGAGCAATATGAGTAGTAGATTTGCAGTTTAGATTCGACTCCCATGGGGCATGGGCCAGCCTAGAGTCAGGACACCAAGCTGCCGACACATGACTCTGAGGTTCGAGGAAAAATGTGCCCGTCAGAGTGATTTTAGTGATGCTCGCTGACAGTGCGCTGTTGACACCGGGACAATGCCTGGGATTAATTATCAGTTTTGGATTACAGTCAGACACCGGAGGAACACAGACACAGCTATTGCCAGTCAGATCAGCGATTCTAGTTCTTGGCCTACTATAATTAATTATTTTTCTGTAATTCTCAGCCAGTCAAAGCCAGCAAACCGCCATGAATCTTTCCGGCTACAGTGACAGATTGGGCCAGGCTGCGGCAGACATCGACGTTCTGACTTACCAGCATCCAGCGGTATTCTACTGTCTGACAAGTAGCGCTTTCGTGAGGGCAAAGGTTAAGTGTAAGATGTTGGTGGATAGCCGCGAGGACCAGGAACTTCGCATGCGGTGCAACAAGCATTTTCCAGCTGGTATGACTTTCAATGCTGCTAGCAAGCTTTCGTCAGACGCAGCGGATGTGGCTAGGCGAATGCTCCTGGCACACGTGGTTTGGAAGTCAGACAAAGACTTCAACAAACACCTGGCGAAGATCCAGAAGGTGTCAGAGAAAGTCTCCACTGTCGTCCTCCACGTTGACTTGCATGCCAGCAAAGCAGCTTATTTCCGGCTCGTTTTGGAGACCGAAGAGTCTGACTTAATTACTGGCAACGGTAAGAGATGTCAAATGGCCGAGGAGTTCCAAGGACATCCATCGCAGCAGTCAGACCGAAGTTGTTTCATCCTCATGTGGCTCGGTTGCATGTTTAATTTTGACAGTCGTCGTCGTTGTTGTAATGGACAACATGTTGCGTGATTGAGGTTCTCCAGCTCTGGTGAGACCGTTGCTTCCGAGACAAAGACCAAGTATCGTCAAGTCCTGGAGCAGTTGGAGCATGACCTCGGGACTTATCTCGCCACTGGAGGCGCCAACATATCGTCAGAGCAAGCCATGCAGCTTGCTGCTAAGAAAGGCGGGGTTGGTTCTTTTTAATTTTAATGTGCATTTGGTGTAATAATTATGTAGCACTGACTAAGACTTTTTCTTCGCAGATGTCGGATAGCAGGTGCGGAGGCTGGAAAATACCCACGAAGCACGTGTGACACCAGGAACATCCTCAAGAGGGCGTTAGACCGACCGACTTCGGTCTTCCTGGATGGAGGTCGCAAGACTAAGAGGTTCAAGGTGTTGGACCCGCAGTTCGAGGTGGTGGCCTCGCATCTGACTGCAAATTCGAACATGCTATGTAAGACGGATGCAGACGTCGCAGAGTTGACTCTTGCCGAGACCTCTCGTTTGCATGGGTGCACGTTCGACTTAAGTCTTTGCAACCATTTCTTTGCATGTCAGACGCTGGCGGCCATGGCTTCTGTGCCCAAAGCAGCGATCATGCTGCTGCTGGCCGGCCTCAACTTTGGTCTGTCTGCATCTTAGGCCAGACCTTTTTTAAGAGTGGTCAGACAGACAGACCATCCCCGGGCTTTGTCTTAACCTGTCAGACTGTTTTGGCCCTGGCTGTGGGTCGGTAAGACGACGGCCCGTTGTGTATGACTTCACTTGCATTGCAGTAAAAAGAAGTTCAAGCGTAAGTTCTGTGGTCATGCCTGCATGTTCCTTTGCATTGGTCACTAGACGAACTGCCTTGACAGGACAAAATTATCTGGCGAGCCGGTGTCAGACCACGACCAGAGGAGGCCATACTGTAGCAGTCCAGGGCATGGTGACTGTCAGTCATTTGCTGCGTTGGCATTGTCAGCATGCTATTGTTTGACTGATGGTTTTTGTTTGGTTTGCCCAGTGCCTTACCAAGAGGGAACATGGCGCTGTAGAGTGTTCCCTCCACACCGCTGGCCGGGTGTGGGGCGAGTGGCATGGTGCCTGGCCGCCAGTCAGTAGTGCCTTTTGGCCATCGCGCCGGCGCCAGGCGTATGACAACAGGGCTAAGCGCTAATGTGCCTGTTGGGGCACTGTGGCAGTGTGGCCAGGACCTGGGGAATCTCAGGGACAGGCTGCATGTGACATTATGGGAGGCTATCAGTCATCTGTGCACGTCCTTCCCGTCGTTTCCTTGCCATTTGCATTCCACGACATGAGTTGGCTTGCAAGTCAGTCAGATTGGCCGGTGCTTCAGTGTTTCCTATGCTTATTGTCCGTCAGAGTCAATGACATTGACATTGGTTGAGTGGTCGCCGCATGAGTCAGAAGTTCGAGCATAAGTTCTGTGGCCATGCTTGCATGTTCTGTCGCATTGGTCACAGGACTCTGACATTAAATAGTTGGCGAGCCGTTGTCAGACCACGACGAAAGGAGGCGTTACTAGCAGTCCATGGCATGTGTCCGTCATCATTGTCCAATTGCTGCGTTGGCATTGTCAGCGTGCTGCTGTTTGACTGATGGTTTTGGTCCTGGTTTGCCTTACCAAGAGGGAACATCGGCGCTTTAGAGTGTTCCCTCCACACCGCTGGCCGGGTGTGGGGCGAGTGGCATGCTGCCCAGCCACCAGTCAGTGCCTTCTGGCCATCACGCCGGCGCCAGGCGTATGACAACAGGGCTAAGCGCTAACGCGCCTGTTGGGGCATTGTGGTGGCCAGCACCTGGGGAATCTCAGGTAAAGGCGTGTCTTAGTAAGACATTGAACCTGGGAGGCTCAGTCATCTGTGCACGGCCTTCCCGTCGTTTCCGGCATTGAATGAATCACGTCAGATTGGCCTTACCGCTGGGGAACAGGTGCTGTTAGTGTTCCCTACACACCGTTGGCCGGGTGTGAGGCTTCGCTGACTCATTGCTGTCCGTCAGAGTCTTCATGACTTGACGTTGGTCGAGTGGTCGCCGCCTTGAGGCCAACACACCAGCACCAGGTGTATGACAGCAGAGTTTTATACGCTAATGCATCTGCTGGGGCGGAGATTGCTTCACATACCACCCCGGGGCAATCTCGGGGGACACTGGGTCAGAGTCAGCACCTGCATGGGAGGCCTGGTGTCAGATTCTGCCAGTAACTTGACAGTCTTTTGTTGGCAAGCTGGTTCAGATTCCGTTTTTTATTAAATTAAATTATTAGAACTATCTGGGCGAGCCACGGTTTGTTCGACCAACCTTGGCCCCAGCAGCAAACTGGGTGAGCCATGGTCAGTGCGGCGAACCTTGGCCCCAATTTGGGTGAGCCACGGTCAGACCTTGGCCCCAATCTGGGTGAGCCATGGTCAGACCTTGGCCCCAATCTGGGTGAGCCATGGTCAGACTTGGCCCCAATCTGGGTGAGCCATGGTCAGACTTGGCCCCAATCTGGGTGAGCCACGGAGCCCGCCGTCAGTTCGATTGGCAGTGGCCCCGAATCTTTGAATGCCTAGCTGCTAGTCAGACATGTGCCAGCAGTCCGTCGAGCGTAGTGCACGGGGTCGAGGGGACAAAGTCACAGCGTGTCCGACACAGGCAGCGGATCCACGATCACCAGCACGTTCGGCCAACTCGCAACTGTGGTGGGCTATACGACTTGTATGGCCGACCATGATTGCGAGCTGAGCTGTGGAGGCCAGCTGCGAGTGTAGTCACCCGTGTTGCCAAGTAAGTTCAGGTCTGACTGAGTAGTTGTGTTGCCGATTGTCAATTGCCAGGTGCTGTCAGATCCTCCGAGGGCTCGCCGGAGCAAGAGGAGCTTCACAGGCCAGAGTGCTGTTATAATCCGCAGTTCTGGCAGGAGAGTTTCATCGCTGTAGATTCTGAACGAATGTTGTTGGCTTGACACTTGGGTTCAAGTGTCAGACATTGCCCACTAGTCAGAGTCTCTTGCCTGCGTCCGGCATGCCGACGACGAAGCGTGCGGGATCGGCGTCGTTGAAACGACCGGCTGCTGCGAAGGCTAAGGTCAAGCCTGAGCGTCAGACACCTCGCCAAGAGATAGAGGAGGAGACTCTGACGGGAGAGGCCTGGCAGTTCGACTATTTTCTTGAACACTTGATGGAGAAGTCAGGCCATTATTTCTCGTCAGACAAGCCACCCAAGCTGATGGTGGCAAGTGGTTGCGACGGCACCGGCTTGCCACACTACGTCTTGAACAACCTCACACAATGTCAGACACGATGCATTACTGGGTCAGAGATAAAGACTCCGGCGGCGCTGTTCCTGCTGAAACAGCGTGGTCAGACAATGCACTTCGACCACCTCATGACCGACATCGCGCACACCGTCAGAGGGAAGGGCCCATGCTGGGTTCACAATCGTTGCTGCACTTTGTCAGACGAGCATCTCAAGAATCTCGACCTCTTCGTGTCGGGTTTCAGCTGCAAGCTGAACAGTGCAGCGAACAGCAGGCGCTGGGAGTCAGACCCGATCGACCTGGAGAAGCCCGAGTGTCAGACGTTCGTGCAGAGTGTTGAGTTTGTCAAGAAGTACTCGCCCAAGTTCTATCTCTTCGAGAATGTGTTGGGGGCCTGTAAGACTCGCGGATCTGGTCAGACAGAGTCGCCCAAGGCTTGGTATGAGCGTTACTTGTCAGACAACCTCCCTGAGTTTACGCACCAGAGCGTGATTGTGGATGCCTTGCCTCAGTCAGAGGCTCGCTCACGTTTGCTGCTGCTGGGTTCGTCAGTCCCCACTTTTTCTGCTTTGGGCTGGGCTAGTCAGACCACCGAGCTCAACGACATCTGCAGCAAGTTCTTCTGCCATGATGCTGCTACAAACTTCTCTTGGTCAGAGAAGGGGCCGTCGACGTACTTGGTGAATCTCAAGAACGATGTCGACTACCATCGCTGCTTCGCAGAAGCATGTCAGAGTCTTGGTGTGGAGGAGTTTTTTTCATTTTATGTTGAGTAAGACTGCCAGGACCCCCCAATGAACTTCAATTGGAGGGCACTACAGCTTGATTTATTTTTGTGGGCACTTGGCATGTTAAGTGCCTTGTTTTGTATTTCGGGGAGGTGATATGTTCTTCGCGAAAGTTGAGGAGTTTAAGTGCCGCCTAATAGAAGGCACTTGTAACAAGTGCCCTCAAATAGAGGGGCCTTGGACCCCAAGTGCCCTCTTTTGAGTGCAGAAAACCGTAGGCAAGTGCCCAGCTGGAAGATCTTAAGTGATTGTATCTTTTTTTCGTGCAATAAGCACATGCACGTGTGTATATACGTATGAACACAGCAAATTGCATAAACTATCTATATATATCTATTTGTGTGTATACATACAGAGATACACATATATGTATATGCAATTAATGAACCTATATATCTACATACACACATGTTCACCTCAGACTCCCGTCGTACATATACTCAGAGAACAATCGAACGATATGACGTCGCCGATCTCCGTGATGTTTGTCTTCGGCTTAGCTTGTTGCTCAAGAACAGTGGCAGTGAGTGTTTTAAAGCGTAGGTGACACGAGAGCACCAACTACAGTCCACAGGTTCGTACACATGTGCCAGAACTAGGGCTTCGTGAGGCGTCGTGGTGACAATGGCGGCAAAGTTTCTCTTCGCGACTGCGGACGCAACAAAGTATGCAGGCGAAGTCCGGGACTAAAAGCCATTGGCGGGCCTGCGCGTTGCGATCATGTGCTCGTTTCCTCCGGACGCATTCATGATATTTGTATATATATATATATATATATGCCTTCATATATCTCTCATTATCTCTCTTATTTAATGAACATATATCTTTTCTACAACTCATCAGCCGGCTCGGAACAAAATGCTGTAGCTCCTGCGCGATGGGCACTTCTGTGAGGAGATCTCAAGAACAAGAGGAAAGCTTGCCCATAACGAGGCAGTCGAAGATGCTGGGAAGGGCCACTGTTTCACAGAACACAAAATGTAGCCGCTTACCCTGTTTCTCTCTTTCCTATCGCCGTTACTTCTTCGTTTGGCCATCTTCGATAAAACTGTGTCTCTCTCTCTCTCTCTCTGTCCCGCCCCTCTTGCCTTTCCTGCCGCTTCTGTGTGGTCTCAACTTGAGACCTTGGAGCACTCGGTCGTTTCATTGGTTCAAGCACGCCGGGAAGGAACTGTCGGAGAAAACTTCTAGCTGCGCAGATGGTTCATGATGTTGCGTGCTCGGATATTCTCATCGATCGCGCGTACCTCCACCCCAATGACTCATGACCACAAGTACATAGTGTATCAGAGCGTCGCAACAGCGACAGCAACAATTGGCGGGGCAATGTCGTGTTGAAGGCCAGGAAGTCTGCGCCGGTGATCATAGGTTTTGCCATACTTACATTTTGTAGCTCACATGAGGATACACTACGCTATGAGAGTTTCCGTATGAACCCTGCGTATGTACAACATACCCGGTGCAATCCAGGATGACCCCGCCGGAATGATCAGAGCCGAAACGCGAACTAGCCTTGAATGCCTGATGATTTCGAGCCTCCGGATGGGGCAATCGCCGGTTTGTACGTTTCCGTGACTCCATCCAAGTGGCGAAGGGCTGCTGCTAAATTTCCGGAGGAGGCATCGTTTGTTGGACCTACAAGCACCTCCAATAGAGGGCATTTGGGATTTCAGGTGATCGACGGGCGTGGGACTTGCACGGCAGTTTTGCAACAGGTTGGGCGCGAAAGTGCGTGTCACTGCGTGTCACTGCGTGTCGCCAGAAACACAAGTGCCTTCTAATAGAGGGCACCTACCACAAACGAGGGGACTTCGGTATATCACGAAACGTGTCACTGCGTGTCACTGCGTGTCGCTTCAAGGCCTCCAACCCACATTTTCGTGCTTGCCCCAAAAACAGCCGGTGGAGCTAAATCGGTCCAAATCGCGCTAGAGTCTTTGGTCGCACTATGAAAACATCCGATGGACGGCACACGAGTCGACGCCACTGCTTTTGCATGTCAGTCATGTCGATTGCTTGCATGATCTTGCATGTATGCTTCTGTTTGTACTAAATGTACATAGGTAGGTGGGTATGTAGACACATATACAAAATATACATGTACAAATCATATGTATATATATATATACATACATATATAAATACGTAGACATATACCTATGTACAAAATTTATGTACACGCACACATATTCAGAGACAAACAAATACATGAGGGCATGGGCCTGTACTTTGGCATATACTTTCTGGATGGTCCTTCTGTCTCGCAAATCTCGCTGCTGGGCTCCAAAGAGCAGCTGATATACTTTGAAAATACAAAACCCAAGACGGTTTTCAAAGGAAATCCAGGCCACGTTCGCCAGCTGAAGCCGACACATTCAGGAACCGAGGGTCCGGGTGGGCCAAGAAGAACCAGAAAGAAAGCAAAGATACAGACGCAACAGCGAATTGCCAGAAGACGACGCAGACGGAAAGACAACGACGGGCACCAGCAGCACGGCAGAGAAGTTAGGAGAAGAGCCAAGGTTCCAAAGCAGTCGAGGAGGATTGAGAGGGCGAAGAGAGCAGAAACAAAAAGGCTTAGGACCGTCATCCTTGATTTTTCTCGTAGACCGATATAGTCCATCGATTGCGCAGAGAAGCTGACGATGTTTAGTAGTCTCGGCCGCGAGCAGCGACATTCGTCAATGTGGTCCATAAGAGAGAAGCGATCTCCGTCAACAATGGGAACCAGTTCTTCCATTCTATGCTTTAGAGCACCGAGGAGCGAAGAATGAAAGAGTTTCATTCAGGATTTGTTTCGCAAAAGCACTCTAAGTGGTTTGGGCCCCTGAGTTCGATGCGCTGCACAATCTTACGTCGATTCTGAATTTTGCAGCGACGTATTGAGAGGCGACAATTTACATTTATGTTTTGTCGATGTGGCCATGCAACATGTTGGATGCTCTGGTGCTCTGGAAGATAGAACGACGCTGCACAGGCACCCCGCAGCAAAAAAGCTTTCACCACGTCTACGTCCCGATCCCTCCACACCGGTGTAAAGACCGACCACATCGCCTACGACTCCGCGGCGTGCATCAGCCCCCGCACCCGATGATATACATTATATATATATATATACACACATACATATAGACACACACACACACACTTCTATGACAACTTTTTTCTAGCCGTAACAAGTTCACACAGCAGTGCTGTTGTGTATTGCGGTATGTGTATGTCCGTGTCCTCCCGGTGCCAAGTCAAAGGACTGCCGAAGCTGTTTCAGCCGGCATGCCCAGGTTACTGTCTAAGATGCTTCAGGGCTTGGCATCCAGTTGGTGTGAGGAGACAAAGGCTAAGAAGCTTCGACAGTGAGCAAGCAAAGCACCCAAAAATGTGATCACCGCAATATAAGCGTTTAATAGCATTTCTTAGATGTGACCCAGCCACCCCATATATCAAGACTAAGTCCCCTCTTTGGTCACTTTTGGGTAAGTGCCCTTAATTAGTGGGCATTTGTGCGAAAACCTCAATAGAGGTACGTCGGGGGGTGCTGGTGAGTAAGACTTAATACTGCCGCTGTCAGTTTGCGGGCCGTCTCTGTCCAAGGAAAGCAGTCGCGGCAAAAAGATTGCTGGAGTCAGACAAGCCAAAGCCGGTGGAACAGCGAGCCAGTCAGACTCTCAAGCACATGGCGCCCTGGTACAGGGCACAAGCAGACGTGTATGAGATGATGCTGGAAGGGGCAGGCATCGGAAAGTCAGACCCCCTGGCAGACTTGAGTCAGACCGTGGACAGGGGACACTACAGGTCAGACGGTTGCTTGAACGTTTTGACGACGGGTGCAATGTGGTACAACTTTGCCAAGAAGGGTTTCATGACCAAGTCAGACTACATGGTGGCACTGGGCTTTGGTATGTCAGACATGAATGCCGACTGCTTGACCTTGTCAGAGCTTCGCGACTTGTGCGGCAATGGCATGAGGGCTCCAATGCTGATCAAGGCCTTTTTGCCGATTTTGACCCATTTGAAATTCTTCCAGAAGGGTACGGCTGAGTAAGACCGCGTCAGACTTGTCCAGTCAAGTTTTGATTGTCTGACAGCAGTTGCATTCCAATGCGACGCGATTTAAATTTCTGAAGTGTGAGTCTGAAGTCTGATGTCAGACCTCGACGGCTGCGTGTCAGACAGAACCGTGGCGAGTCCGAATGTGATTCTGCAGAATCAGCGTATTGAAAATTCCGGATTGCAAGTGGAGCCAGTCGTTCATGCCTGCCAGTTTCAGTGTCAGACAGTAGTATACTCTGCGTAAGACAGCCAGTCTCGCATGCAGTTTTGAATTCCTGTAAATTCCTGTCGCAGGCGACACTGGAGTGAGAGGCTTTCCGAAGTTGCCTTTTCACGCGAGCGCCGTCAGACATTGAGGACACTAGTCATTATTAATTATTATTATTATGGATATTTATGTAATAATTTAAAACCGGCCCCACCCAGACGAGAAGTGCCTATTGCCAATAGACACTTCTCGTCTGGGCGTGGTTGTGCTCCCTAGGCGAAAATAATAATAATTAAATAAGCAAGCAGTCCTCGCAGTTTGACGGCAGCAGCTTCGTCTGATTGTCGCTCGGTTGTCAGACTCGGCGTTGCACTGTAGCGAACTAGACGAGAAGTGTCTATTGGCAATAGGCACTTCTCGTCTGGGTGGGGCAGGCTAAATTAGGACTGGAAGTCTACGACTGATACTACTACCTACTGGTAGGACAGACTGTCTACGACTAATCTAAATTACGACCGATACCGCTACCGCTACCGCGACTGCTACTGCTACTGCTGCTGCTGCTACTGCTGCTGCCACGTGCTACTGCCTGTTGCTGCTACTTGCTGCTGTTACCCTACTGACTACTAGTACTACTACTACTACTACTACTACTACTACTACTACTACTACTACTACTACTACTACTACTACTACTAAACTACTACGACTACTACTACTAACTACTACT